CTTTTTAGAATTTTATTAATTTTACTTATAGGTCATACATGTCTATCTCAATATTAAAATTTTCATTTTTTTTTATTGTATTTCATATCAAATTTATTCTAATTCATTCAAAGAAGTAGATATTTTATATGTTTAAAAAATTAGATAATTACTTATTTAGAATATTATCTCATAAACATTTACCTATTTGTAAATATTACATAATCTAGCATAATACAAATAGTTTTTCTGATACAGATATTGATCATCCAAATATGCTATTCTTTATAAAGATTATCTTTGAATAATTTATTGCTTACAATGTTAAAAGGTTAGCAAATACTTGTTAAATTACTTAATATAACTGCTAAATCAATGTCAATTTCATAAATTTTTTTAATTAAGCCTTTCAAATATTCTCTAAAAGAATCATATGGATGGTTTGCTAGGAAAATAAGGCTTTGAGCATTTTTTATTAAAATTTTAATTTTTATTGCATTTTAATTTTTGATAATATTGGATTAAAATGCAATAAAAATTAAAATTTTAATAAAAAATACTCAGAGCTTCATTTTCCTAGCAAACCTCCCATATATCTTATTATTAGGAAATTGAATTTATCATCAATTTTTTAGTTTATTGATATAATCAACATATTTTATTATTAGATTAGAACCTATCTATCCATTATATTAAAACCAAATACTATACCAGATATAATTAGATCATGTTTACTATATAATAATCATTTTTTTTTAAAGATACAGATTAGTAGAAATTTTGTTTTATTTAGAATAAAAATTTTTTAAATATTAAATTTATTTCTTACAAAGATTAAATATTACAAAAAAAATCAAAAAATAAACATAATCTATAGCATATTATAAAATAATTAAATCAGTTTTATTCATTGCCAGTTCTATAAATATGAACTGTTTTTTTACCTGTCTAATTAATAATAAAATTTCCCATCATATTGAACCAGACAATTATTTTATTTATATTAAGAATATTAGATAGTTTGAAGCATTTTCTGTTCTAAGAAATTGATAAAGGTTTTATAATAATTCATTATTTTGTGTAGGAAGTTTTTGTAAGATTTTAGTAAGTCATTATTGAGAAAGATTAATTTTTTTCATAAATGCAAATGTTAAATGATTTGAAGATTTGAAATTTTTGCTGAATCTTTATAAAGATTTTTCATTTTAGGCTCTTTTAAAATCTCTATCATTTTAACTAGTATGATTATATAAGTAATATCTAATCTCTATTTTCTTTATCTAATTATCTAATCATGTAATTTTTGTCCTGCTTCTGAGTAAAAAACAATTCAATTAGAATTAACTTGCTTGCTATTTTAGTTCAGTTCAATTTCCTAGCTTTTATTTGTTTTTACCTAATAACCAATTATACTATATCAAGACCAAATTGTTTTGGCTATTTTATTTCTATTATTTTTTTAGCATAAATGATGATTTGTCTCTTTTGTTTAATTGAAAATAAATTGTAAAATTACTTGACAAATTTTTTATGTTTAAAAACTTTTTCTAAGTAAACTTTTTATTTTTTTATAACAGCATGTTGTATAAGTTAAACAGGCTTTGTGATAGAATTTATTTGTGCTTTTATAATAAATTCACATTATGCTACACAATAATAATCATGATAATTTTGCAAAAGCTAAAACTGGATAACTTTTATTTAAGTTACTTTTAGTTTCAAGCATCAAAAGTATTTCTTATAATCAAATTATTTTTTACATTAGCAAGATAAGAAAAATGATAAGCAATAACTCAAATTTTACTATTTTCATCTATAACTATCACATAACTATAGATCATTAGATAATTATTAAACATTTTATATCACTCTTTTAATCTTTAAAAAAATAGCTTTGGAATTTTTTTTTATTATCCAAAATTAAGACTCTCATAGTAAAAAAAGAGTGTTTAATTTCAGAATGGTACATTATTTTAGTAAAATAAGTTCAGGTTTAATATTAACTTAAATAATTAGAGTTTATTTACTTTTATTTAATATCATTACTTGTTTTATTTTTATATTGATTAAATCTTTATATTTATTTATAAAGAATATAAAATTAATTATAATTCAAAAAATATTAAATATTTTAATAATCTTTGTTAAAACTAAAATCAGGTAAAAATTTTAATAATTCTAATTAAATTGATAATTTTACTAATAATTTAATAAATTTTAATTAGATTGGTTAAAGATTTAGAATTCTTTAAAATACTAATAATGATAATTCAAACTCTTTCATAATTTGACCAAAATGTATGAATTATAATTAGCCTTCAATCTTTTATTATATCAGAAAAAGGGCTAGATATCGCTAAATATTAATATAGGAATTTTATTTAAATCTATTTATTTCTTTCTTAGCGTTAGTATAAATACTTAATGAACCATTGATTTTCACTATTTAACCATTTGACAGTTGGATTAGAAAAATTTTAATATCATGGGAACTATGCTGTAGTACATTCCATTATACCATTAAGACAATAAAAACGCCACGTAAAAATTGTGGAAAAATCCCCAGCGAGCAAAATTTTTAATTATTTACGCAATTATGACTTAATGATACTAAACTTTTCCCAACTTTAGTAAAATAATAAAAGGGAATCTAATATTCTTTTACTATAGTAAATGGTTACAATTAAAAAAAATATATAAACCTTTGATTTTTCTCTCGGGTTATATAAATTTTTTTTCATTCACCGCCTTTTTATTTATTGAAGGAAAATCTTAAATAGATCAATACCGCAGCATGATGGAATTGATTAAAATCGCACAAAAAACATATAAGGATCATATTAACGATGAATTTAAACAACAGCTTAAAGAACAAACAAGGTAACGAAATCCATTTTTTTTACAAACGGCAATTGGTATGCGCATCAAATATTTTTTTTTATTGTGTAATGAAAATATGCGTTTATACGTCAGATTTTCGATATCGGAGAAAAAATATAATATTTTCTCCACGATTTTATTTTGCATTTACATCCCCTATTTTTCCTAATTTTTCCATAAATTTTTTTTTTTATATATAATTAGAATTACTATGAATAGAATTTTAGCATTATTTAAAAAAGATGATGGAGAAATTACTTATCCATTAGAATTAGAAAAATCTTATAGAATATTAAAAAAAGTTTTAGGAGTAGGAACTTTTGCTGTTGTCAAAGAATGTGTTGATAGAAAAACCGGGAAATCCTATGCTTTAAAAATTCTTTCCAAACATGCAATAAAAGGTATTTATAAGTTTCACAATCTGTTTATTATTTTTTTAAGAAAGTACTCTTGACTTTTGATAATTATATAGGAAAAGAGAATATGTTAAGCACAGAATTGGATGTATTAAAACAAGTAAATCATCCAAATATTGTGAAATTACACGATCTATATGAATCAAAGGAAGGTGTATATATTATAACAGATTTAGCTAGCGGAGGAGAATTGTTTAATCAATTATTATTAAAAGGATCTTATACGGAACAAGACGCTGCTAATTTGGTAAAACAAATATTAGAAGGCGTTGCCTACTTGCATGATCATGAAGTAAGTTAAGAAGAAATCATTTTCTCAATGGTTGATGGATTTTCGAGATTAATATTTAATGTATTATATCTAGATTGTGCATAGAGATTTAAAACCCGAAAACCTTTTGTTTAAAGATAAATCTGATGACGCAAGGTTGATGATTACAGATTTTGGTTTGTCAAAAATTTTGAAGACCGATAATGATGTATTGATGACCGCATGTGGAACACCCGGGTAAATCATACTATTCAAAGAAGTTAATCGGTTATAACCGATCGCATTAACATTTTCTTTCTTTCTTTTCTTAAATATAGTTACGTAGCTCCTGAAGTACTATTACAAACGGGACATGGTAAACCCGTTGATATTTGGAGTATAGGTGTTATAACGTACACGTTATTATGCGGATATACCCCATTTTGGGGTGATGATCAAGCTGCATTATTTGAAAGTATTATGTCCGGTATATATGATTATGACGAAGATTATTGGTCAGAAATATCGATGAAAGGTAGGTAACCTTTAAAGAAATTGTCATTTACTAAGAATCATTTAATAACTTATCTTTGATTATTTAGCCACAGATTTTATTGATAAAATGTTGACATTTGATCCTTCAAAACGCGTAACAGCACATGAAGCATTAAATGATGAATGGTTTAAGTCCGCTACCGACGTTGATATTTTAGAAAACGTAAGAAAAAATTTTTCTGCAAAAGAAACATTTAGAAAGGCAATTAACCTTGTACAAGGTGTTAACCGAATGACTCGCATGCGCAAACATCCTAAACACGGTGATGAAATAAATGGTGAAACGGGGGTTGGTGATCGACATCATCATGAAAGAGAATTAGATGGGAAATAATTTATTTTCATTTTTTTTATCCTTTTTCCTTGTATTTTTATTTTTTATGATTTTAATTTATCAATGGCAATGCCATTATCGTGTAAATTATATATATTAAAGGATTGACACATTATAAGTAATTTGTATCATCTCTTTTGATAATAATAAAATATTTCAATATAATTTTATTGTAATAATAATGTTAAGATGAAAAATGATTTCCAATAAAAAAGAAAATGTCAAAAAGGATAAAGTCAGTCTAAATGATGATGATGATGGATGATGATAATTATTATGTACAAGATTAAGGATGAAATTAAAATGGATGTATGGGTTTTTTTTAGTAATTGCAAGCTGAACTAGCCTTTTAATGCTTGAGTATCAGGGATAACAAGTGGTTCATAACTCCGACCATTAGTTGGACCTGTTGTGATCGTAGTCGTTATAGTTGAGGTTGTCGTAGTCGGATTTGTTCCACCTTCAAGCTCTGGCGGTTCGATCCATCCATTTGGTACAACACCTTTTGATTCAATGAGTTGTAATAAAAGTTACAAACATATTATTCGGTTAAAACACATGGTTTTTACATCTTTATGTTATACCTCTAATATTTTACATTTTTTTGTACCTCAACGATAGTCATGGAAGTTGCAGTGGTAGGAACATGTACTTCACTAGCAAAATACTTATCCATGGTACTCATTATCCAACTATTAGAATGAATACCTGATTTAATTTTGATATTCATAATTGTATTCGTGGAAATTTGAGGTAACTAAAAATCTTAAGGTACAACATAGAAAATATGTATGAAATTTGAAAGCAAAACCTACATGGAAAGAAAGTTCCTAATTTGGCGGCTCTGTTTATCCAATCTAATGTAAATAAATAAATATATTTTATTTCAGAAATTTAACCTAAAAAAAAAGCAACCGAATCCTTTGTTTGATGATGAACGTTACTTACTTGGAGCGGCCTTACCAACTAACCGGCTACATAATTCACTTGAGAAATGATTACAATTTCTAAAAATTTGCAATAAAAAAAAAACTTGATTGTTAAATTAAATCATAAAAAAAAATCTAAAAATAATTAATAAATAAAAAAAACCTTGTTAGCAAATTATAACTATTTCCGCGCCATTCGGCTGATAGCTCATCAATAACATTTTTTATCTCTTCCTTGTCCAATGTTGTATATCCCATCGCTATGGATTCTCTACAAAAAAAAAAGAACATTGAGCATTTCGCCTTCGCATAAATAATTTATTCTGAGCAAAGCTTACTTAAATGTTACGTTCGGTGGGCCAATTTTTGGTCTCATTACAAAAACTCCAGTAAAATCATAATCATGACCTCCAAAATTGTATTCCCTTCCTAGAATTTCTACACCGGAATGAAATACTCCAACTCCAATTCTATAACCAATATCTGTGATTTTTCCCCTCGGTAACTAATAAAAATACTCGAGTATAAGCTTTTCATTCTTTTAAGCTCTATTAATAACTTTCAACTTACCATATCATATACGTTCAAATACACCTGTATCATAAAAAAAAAAAAAAAATTCGTTTTTAAAAATTAAATATATTATATCTCGGTGGTCCATAAGAAAAAAAAAATTAATAAATAAAATACCGGAATATGTTGTTCTCCGAATAATGGGACTTCACTGGAGTCGACTACAGAATTCATTTTTTAAAAAATATTGTTTTGTAAAAAATAAAAAAATAAAAAGGAAAAAAAATAGGTTTGAATTTTCCATTTATATCTTTTTTTGATAGCTCATATAGGAATAAATCGTAATTTAATTAATGCAATGTAAATAATGTGCAAACCAACAACGGGGCTAATTGTTGATATCGTAATACATTATTGCCGACCATACTAAAGTTTTCGTACCAATCAAAAAACCTCTCAAATTCTTAATCCGAAAAAACTAAAACTCAGATCAACGGATGATCTTGTAGATGAAACTGAATAAACTGAATGAACAAACAAACTTTAATTGGATCTCATATAAATTATAAATTACATCACCTGCCTATTTATAATTTTTTGACATACAAAAATGCTATCATTTGCTCTTCGAACATTTACCTTTAGAACATTTACTTTAAATGCTAATGTACAGCGTTCTACTCAAATAAAATGTATTTTTCAACAAACTTTACGACAATCGTATAGTACTTCACTAAAACCAGAATGTTTTGTCGAAGAATTGGAAGGTGAAGATAAAGGTATCGCAAGTTTCGTAGTAAGAAACAAATTTAAAAATATCAAAATTAAACGGAATTTATATTTAATTAGGAATTTCTATAATATATCTTAATCGTCCAACTACAAAGAATGCTTTCTCAAGAAAACTTGTAAGGGAATTTAGTGACGTTGTGGACAACTTAAGAAATAAAAGGTTACTCAAAATTTCTCGTTGTAACTTGTAATCCACATTAATTTGAATTTTTGAATTTATCTCATGTTTTTGAGTTGATTTGTATAGTGATGTTCGAGTTGTTTTATTGGGGAGTTTGGTAGATCGTGCATTTTGTTCAGGAGCTGATCTAAAGGTAAAATAATTTTATGAATATTGTTGTAATTAAAATATAATTACATCATATGATTAATAATAGGAAAGAGCTAATATGTCAGAACCAGAAATTAAAGAATTCCTTCAAAATTTGCGAGGAGCATTCCGAAATCTCGAAGTAGGTAAAAATTCAACCCCCTCCTTCTCGAATTTTACACTCATGTGTGGATGTATAAACTTAATTTTATTTTTTATTTTTATAGTCACTTCTTGTCCCAACGATTGCTGTAATTGATGGCGTTTGTTTAGGTGGGGGGCTTGAGTTGGCTCTGTGTTGTGATATGCGCGTTGCCGGTAAGTGAAAACATTGACTTTTTCTCATACATTATCTTCGATTCACATCGTTTAAAATTAGGTGAACATGCCAAGATTGGACTTCCTGAAACTAGACATGCTATTATACCAGGGTAATTTTTAATCAGTCTTAATATATACGTGAATTTAATGATTTATGTTATTCGTTTAATATTGATTAGTGCTGGTGGTACTCAGCGGTTGTCACGCGCTATTGGTTTTGCAAAGGCTAAAGAAATGATATTTACAGGGCGAACATTAAACGCAAAAGGTGCACTTGAAGATGGTACGTTCATAATTTGCTAAATCAAGAAGTAAAGGTATTCTTATTAACAGTAACCAATTTTTTTTATTTAGGAATGGTTAATTATGCAACAATGGAAGGTTCATCGATAACATTTGCAATGAATATTGCAAGAGAAATTTTACCTTGTGGTAATTAAGATTTTTATTTATTAGATCATCACTTCGTTGTTACATATAAATACTTCTTTTTTCGATGAAAGGACCAATTGCCGTTCGTATGGCTAAATTGGCTATTAATCGTGGCGGTCAACTTGATCTGTAAGTTATAATTCGAATTATAATTATAAATTAAATGAATATTCTCGAGAATTCATATATTGACTACTTAATATCTTTAACCTGTTTTAGGGATTCTGCATTGGAATTTGAACAAGAATGTTACGCCAAGGTTATCCCTACAGAAGACCGTGTCGAAGGTAGAATAATATTCAATACAAATTATTCATATCATCTCTTTATATGTTGATATTTTTAATTGGATTTTATATTTTGTAGCATTGAAGGCATTTAATGAGAAAAGAACTGCTATCTTTAAAGGAAAATAAAAAAAAATTTCCATTACAAAAGATAATGTTACCTTTTTTTTTTAGTTCGATCAATATAAATTTTTATATTAAAAAGCTTTTGATAGGTGACATTAAATCGGCATTGTTTATTAGTCACACGCATAATTGTTTATAATTGTTTGTCGGTCTTTATCACATGAGCAAATATGTCCACCATTAGTCAATTTGTAGAACATTCAATACAATAAAAAATTTTTAACCGAATATCTTTTCACATAAAAAAATGAAATAATTTTTTTATTGTTACTGTAAGATAATTGAAATCAAAAAAATAAATTTAAAAATATCACAATCTGAGATTAAAGTATTAGGTGATGATGTATAATGTATTATCTAATTCGATTTGTTATTATTTTAAAAACTATCCGAATATTTTAGGATAATTCACGGATCAAATTTACATTAAAATAAGTTAGTTGATTATAAATAATTTATTTTTTATCATTCCTTTAAAATGATACTTATCATTTATATTGTTATTATTCTAAAGGAAAGATTTTATATCATTTTTTTAAAATGATATCTTCTTTGCAAGGTGTAATAATTACTGGATATATAACGGAAGAAATTGTATAACATATTATTATACTTCTATAATATAATATCACAAAATTATAACAAACCTTTTTATTTTGCTCCAATTTAACGTTAGTATTGCACGAAAAAAAACATAGAAAAACATATTTATTATGAAGGGAGTATGCGCTTCCTAGGCCATTCAATGCAAGTCCTAGCATCAAATTAATTCTTTGCTCTTCTTATGTTCCGGAAAAATGAAAATATCTATAGTTAATATAAAGAGAAAACAAGTTTAACGCCAAATCATCAGTCAAAGTCGTTAAATTAAAAATAAGGTATGGTAAATATGCTAATTAAATATTGGTTTCATTAATACTTGATGTTCTTGTTATACTGTCTGAGAATTCCATCGTCAACACGTGTGCATCATAGACCCTGAGATTACTCACCTGACTTCTTGTAAATTTTCGCTCACTTTCGGCTTTATTTTAACTATGTGGCGTACATAACGAATTTGTTTTACTTTCGATATACAGTGGCGCTCAAAAGTATTGCATCACCCGAATACAAAATTTTAATTAGCATTATCTTATGATTAAGAAGGC